CACCATCCGGAACCGCCCGGACCCATTACCAGACTGTGCAGCGGCTTTCTCCCCGGCTCCCTGCAGCCTCAGCCGCCCTTTTGCCTCTAAACTGCTTTGAGAGAGACCCTCCCAGCACTCGCACCTGATCCTGCATCCTCCCCAGGAGATTTCCGATGGCTGCTCCCTGCCTCCGGGATGAAGGCACACAAGGGCTTCGCGGCTCACTGTCTGTCTGCCTTTCGGTCTCGGTGCTCCTCGTCCACCCTGGAGTCCGTCACAATCAGGTGCATGGACTGCCACACCCCGGACGCATGTGCACGATGCCCGCCTGTGAGCTCCAGGCACCCCTGCCTCAGCCGCCAGGCCTCCCCGTCCGCTCAGAGCTCTCGTCCTGCAGGCCGGGCTCCGAGGCGCCTCTCCGTGAAGGCTGCCCGCTCCCCGCCGTCCCTCCTTCATGGCACTGAAGTTCACAAACCCGCCGTGTCAAAGCGGAAGGCCTCACAGGCAGAAGCACCGTTACTCGGATTTGGGGAAATTCGCAGCCAGGTTCCTCACCGGTAACGACAGCTGAGTCGTTTCATCGGCCAAAGATGAAAACCTTTCCCAACTCCCTGGCGCAGTCTTAATGGAGACTCTGCTCCCTGAAGGTGGGGCTCACTTAGCGGGAACCGTGTGTCAGACTGGCCCAGGTCAGCGGACGGTCAATGCAACGGAACACGATCACATGCAGCGGTGAATGCCACTGGCCACGGCCTCCCGCTCCCGCAGCTCTCGTGGGAAGCGCAGTGCCATCCCCAGTGAGTGACCGCAGGAGGCACTGGCTGGACACCGAATGCAGTGCTTCCCTGGAAACGTCCAGGCAAAGGGAACCTTGCCAGGAAGGCCAGCTTCCCATGAGGTGCAGCTGTGGGTACTTGCGGCCCCATTAAAGGGAGACTGTCGTTTCTGGAATGACACTGCCACAGTTGTACAGTGTTATGCTAATACTGGCTCTGAACTGAAAAAAGACCACCCCCAACTCCCCGGCCAGCAGGCCACCGCCTCACCCTGGAGGACTGCGGCATCCTGACCCTCGTCCTCGCCACCGCGCCCACACAGACAGTGTCATCATGCAGCTGCTTTGCCTGCCCCTTCAGTGACGCTCCATCGCCGTCCCCTCCCTCCCGCAGACCTTCACTGAGGGCCTCCTGTCCACCAGGCACCGTGAGGGAAACGTCAGGTGCACCGAGCTCCTGGGCAAGGCTGCCCTGGGTTCCCCGGCCTGGGCCCCGCATGTGCCCTCGTCTGCTGGGCACAGCTGCATGCTCCAGCCCACTGACCTGACCTGCTTCCTGCTCCCGAGCTCGCCGTTCCGTCCCGAGCCTGCCTGTCTGTCTATAACGCCTTCCCCGGCTTCGCCAACTTTAACTCTATGGAGCCTTAAGGGGCCAGGACTCCCTGCTCCAGAAACCTTCCTTGACCACCCCTGCCCCTGCCCCTCACCCCACCTAGTGCCCTGCTCTGAACTTCCGGAAAGCCCTGTGCACATTGACACGACTCTACTTCACATGTTCTACCCCGGTTTTCTGTTCTGCATCCGTGTCCTCAATTGTGCCTTGACGTGCTGAAGGCGAGGCTGGGCCCTACTCATCTTCGTGGTCCCGATGCCACCTGGGCGCCGCGGCCCGTGGGCATGCAGGGGTCCTGCTAAATGACTCAGCACGTAAGCAAAGCTGACTGGGTGAGGAACCAGGGTCCTAACCCCAGCACTTACAGTGAACCTGACGTTGGGGACACTAACTCGCTCAACTCCTGCAAAGCACAGTTCTCTCCATCACTCGGCTCCTGGGAAGGCTGGCAGCCGATGACATTGTTGGCAACAGTGATAACCTCCTCACACAGGAAGTCCCATGACGGTGGCCTGGACTGTCCACCCGCACGTTCTAGAAGACTGTCCGACAATAACATGTGTTTCATAACCTGGCAAAACCCTGGAGAGGCCGCCATCAGCCATCCAGCTTGTGAGCCTTAAACAAAACAAACCCACAACACAGCCCACTGAGCATCACAGTGAAAGTCTTTAAATAGAAAAGTGTTCACTTAGGTGCTGCTTAACGGGAAATGGCCCCAAGTGGCCAAAGGCGGGTTTCCGGGGAGAGAAACAAAGGGTGAGAAGCCTCCACGGTGACCACCGGGCACCTTTCCAGCTCCTGCCTGGCGTAAACGTTCCCTCTCACACCTGGATGCCTGGCTCCCGTGTCACTTTCTTTCCAGGGCCCGGCCGCCCGCGGGTGCTGGCGGTTTCAAACCGGAGGCGGAGTGTGTTCACCTCTGGCTGTGCCTTAGGACGCCTCACCCGTCACCCAGCGGGTCCAGGCCGGGGAGCGTCCATGCCACAGACACGGGGCACTCCTCCCTCAGGGGCCTCAGGCTGGTGCTCACATCCCCACAGCACATAGGAAACCAGCGGGCCCTGATGAGCAAGAAAACTGCAATGCAGAGTTGAGGCTGAAATTACCAAATTTTCTAAATTTACCTGTTACCCAATTTAACGACAGCAAATATTTGCACAATGAAAAGGAATGACCCCTCCTCACCAGCCCCAGCATGCCTTGCCTCATGGTTCTCCTTCTCCCCTGCCTCTGCCCAGGGGTCAGCTTTAATGTGCAGGATGCATTCGCGGGTGGGGCGGCCTCAGGCCTAACTGAGCGGACGCCAGCCTCCTTCAGTGATGCACAGTCCTGCACAGTCCACAGGTGTCCCCTGGATGCTCACCGGGCCCCCGGGAGAAGCACAAGCTTGTCCAGGGAGGGGAGAACCTCGTCCTGTGGAGAAGCTGCTTGGACAAGTACCGCGGGGAGAACATCCGGCCTGCAGGGCCTGATGCCGGCAGAGCCGCCTTGTGTCGGGTGAGAGGAAGGGGTGGTTTGCTTGTCGCTCCAGAGATGGAAGGAGAGGGCATGAAACAGTAAAATAAACACCAAAAGACGAGGTGTGTTTGCAACTAAGTGAAAACCAACCAAGGAGAATGCCTGGCAGGCAAGCCTAGAAAACATGATGTCAGAAAACGTCTCTGTTGTTTCTGAAAATGCCACTCATTTCTAACCTTGATAAGCAAACAGAATTTTGTTTAAAATTTAGTAAAACACCACCATCGTCAGCATCAGCACCATAATCATGATTATCAAGGACAGCAGCCATCCCTCAGAACTAAACTAAGTTGCTGACAATGGACAGGTTCCCTTTCTCAGCCGCCTTGAAGTCGTGTCTGGCCCCAGAAACAAATCTCACCCCCATCTCCCTCCTCCCCCATTGCTGACAGCGCTCCCCAGGGCCTGGTCCTGAAGACGGGAAACTCATGAACGGCTTTGTAAGCGGCAGCTGATTCAGTGGAAGATCAGTTTGGGGGGAGTCTTGTCTGGCCAAATCCTTGTCTACATCAAATACTTGGGTTTCACTGGCTGAGGGCTGTATAGATGCAGTAAAATCTTACGACCACTCTGTCTTCCTCGCAATAAACATCCACTTTAGCAGCTGGAAGGGGGGAAGGAGACTGTGTTCTCCGCAGCGTCCGTGTCCGTAACCCAGAGTTCAGGTGGTAGCTGCGCAAGCCCAGTGCCGGCTTGGGCAGCAGCCGGGAGCAGCCCATCCCAGCCCCCGGCTTCTGAGCGGCTCCTCATCCGCAGGGGCTTCCTGGCCGGCCACACAGGGAGGGTCAAGGCCAGGCCGCTGCCCGAGGTCACGGCCCTGCTTCCCTTCGCATCTTTGCCTGAACAACCACCAGACAGGCCGTTTGTAAAGGCCCAATGACAACCTAAAAGATTACAGCGGATCTGCTTTCTTAATACAAGTGAACGGGAGTCACCATGGAGATGTGAGGAGTGGCCCTGAGATAAGCAAGCCCTCGCGGGGGGGAACAGGGGGGCATGCATGGAAGGATGAGAATGAGCTGTAGAAACATGAGAGGCGTGAACTATCGTGTGTGCAGGACACATGCCCTGTCGTAGCACACACACCTCTCACACACATCACCATCCAGGAAAATGGCGACTAAGAAAGTCAGCCGGGCTATCACCTGGAGTGTAACGATGGGGAAGTCATCGGGGCTGAGGCGGCGTGTTCTCTCCTGGGCAGGACAACGAGAAGCTGTCCCTCGGGCACCAGTGTCAGGGAAGGACCAGGCTGGGAGGGGCTGGGGGGAAAAGGAGTGAGAACCAGGACTCCTTACCTCCTCTCCGGCCTGGATGTCTCGGACGGCGCGCAGTAGGAGGTGGGGCCCGTTGAACACGATCGAGCAGTTGGGGTCACAGCTGTGATTGAGCAAAGACATACTGGAGGAAAGAAGAGAAAAAAGGGGGAGACCATCACAGCTCAGCAGAGTCCAACATCTACATGCAATGAATACAATTCACTCGGGGGAGGGGCGCAGGTGAGGCTCAGGGCCCAGGAAGGGGCCTCGGGGGCCCTCACCGCAAGGCCACGAGCCACTGCCTCGGAGCTGAGATCTCCCCGGGATGGAGGCTAAGGGGGGAAGTTTGTTAACAAACACGTTTTCTGAGTCCTCTTTGGGGGTGGGTGGGGGTGGGGAGGAAGTGGTTGTCTCATTAGGTACCAGGCAGTGAGATAGCCCGATATAAAGACGGAGAAGACAGATGTGCAAGCACATCCCCCCGAGACAGGTAATGGGACGCGGCCGTGTCCCTGCGGCCAGCACAGCTGACCTTCCCACGGGACCTCGTCTGTCCAGCCTGGAAGGAGCGACCACGTCGGCTGGGGCATCGCTGCTACCAGGAGTAATAGACCTTCCTCCTCAACAGACGCTGCGGTTGTCTTGCTAACTGGACCCCGTGCCCTCTGGGCCTGGCAGTGATCTCATCTCCCTGCAGGTGGCTTATTTACCACCCGGGGAAGGGACTGGATTGAAGCTGCCTTCATATCTGACAGCGCTTAGAACTCCTGCCCGTGAGCCTTTTCATGTAGAAAGCCCTCTCTGAGCAGCTGAGCATCTTTATCAAGTTTGGTCACGTGATCATTCTTACAAGGGGCACTTACAGATAAAGAAATGACATGTCGAAGTGAGGTGGCTGCCCCAGGACACGGCTAGTAGGTGGGACTGGACTTGAGCCAGGCGTCTGGCCTCAGAGCACCTGGCTGCACCCTCTGCTCTCCAAGGCCAGCGCCAATGCCCTGCGGTCCGACACTTGTGAGATGTACGAGAGGAGGCGGGATTCTCAGGTTCACAAATAATTACAAAGTGACGAGGTTTGTATTTGGACCCTCGTGGCGTGAAACTAGGAGTGACGGAGAATGTGTGGGGGACAGGCTAGTGGCTCAGTGATAAAGGCCACTTCAGTGACAGCCAGCGTCCCACCTGGAGCACTGGGCTCGAGTGAGCTGAGCCAAAGGACGGAATGAACGGGGGGTGCAGCCGGGGGCCTGGTGAAATGACCCAGTGCTTCAGCCAGGGGGCTGGGGAGCGGGAGGGGACTAACCAACCTTATCCTGACGGGGTATTGGCACCCACCGCCCCACCTTCTAACCCAGGTTCCCCGGAAAAGAATTCAGGCCTGAGGGCTGCCTCTTGGCTAACACCACGGTGACTGTCAACCTTCTGTCGCCCACGGCACACGTAAACCGATTACTAAAATTCTGCGGCACACCAAAACATCTATTTGCTGCCAATCTGACAAAATAGGTATGATTTTGATTCAGCCACACTAGACGGCTATGGTTGTGTAAGCTGTTGCCATTTTTAAATCTGAGAATCGAAGGGCAAAGAGGTCAGTGCCCCTGACTGGTCAGGTGTTGCATGTTCTAAAAATCCTTGAGGCACACGGTTGGAAACCACTGCCACGGCATATAACGTGGGGTTATAGAGTTGTTTTCTTTAAACTTAACATTTTCCACTTTCTTGTAGATTACCATCGGGTCTTAAGCCTGGCTCTCCAACTAGCTGCTGCAAGGGCCTTTCTCCTGCTCCCAAAGGCTGGGGGCCGGGGTTGGGGGGGACTGAAGTTGCTTCTCCCGGGAGTGAAGTGCCATACCTGGGGTACAGGCCCACGCCGACTTCCTGCATCTCCGCGTTGCAGATGGTGAAGGAATTGCAGATCAACTGCGGAAACAAGGGGGACAGTCGGGTGAGCAGAGTCACCCAAGAAACTGCGCAGGCAAGAGAACGAACTTCTCAAAATAAACGCGGGGCCTTTGAGTGGCCGCTTCGGAAAGGTCCAAGCCAAACCTGAATGCTCTTCCATCTGCGAAAGATACCTGGGCAGCAGGTAAGAGCGTATCAGTGGGTAAGGACAGACATACCGACATCCTGTAAAAAGCCAGGCGTCAGCCAGCCCTGGGCTGGGGTTTCCGGGTGCCCTCTCCCGTCAGGTTAAATAAGTTTTCTTAAGTTGATTTCAGAGGGCACAACCAGACATGGTGCAGCCGGGGTTCCTGGGGGTCAACACCAGAAGCGGATGCCCTGGACAAGGTCGGACCGCCCAGGGCCGCCGCTCCCAGTGCCCACAGCGGACAGCAGCCCCGAACCAGAACATGGGCCGCTGCACCCTGTCTTCCTTGCATTCACCAAAGGGAATTACTTAGGAAGCTTGTGTACAAATTAAAAAATTACAGAAGGCTGAACGGCACAGGGGCTTAGGGGGCTGGGAGGAAGGCCTCGGTCCTGTTAAATTCAAGAAGGCCTCGCCGACGTGCGAGCGAGACAGGGCCAGCGCCACTGGGCTAGGAGGGCACTGTCAGGGCTGGAGGCAGGTTCCTGTGAAAGGAGGCAAAGTCTGAGAAAGCGTAAGTCCTCGAAACTCTCCCTCTGCTCCGAAGAGCTTTTTATGAAATCCAGCGCAAACTACACGATTTGGCATTTTTCCTCCAAAAGTCTGACAACGCTGCAGTTTCTAATCGGGGACTAAACTGGTGCACACACACATATTGTAAACACGCCCTGGCTAAACTGCATTAAAGGCATCTGTTTCACATTAAGCTGAAACAGTGTACTGCCTATACTTTTTTATGTATAAAATGGATGGTGAAAATATACAACAAAAAAAATCCTGTGTTTTCTTTTTGAAACTTTAAACTTTTAAAAATGGGTATGATCTTTTTGGGGGGTGGGGTATGAATACTTTTTTTTTGTCTTGTTACTCCTCACCCGAGGACATTTTTTTCCATTGATTTTTAGCAAAATCAGCCAGGGCTAATACATATTTTAAAAGTATAATCAGGAATTTTACTGAAGCAACCCACCAATGAAAAACCAGATCAAAGAGATCTAATTTGCAAACTTTCAAATCAAATGAAAATTGAATTTTTTTCTGAACTGTGAAGCAAATTCAAGGTTTTTACAAAATAAATTTATTCTGATGGAACTTTATTTTTAAACGGCTACCATGTTAACTTAACCCCTTCCCCGGCAGAAACGTGTATACACGTTTTCACAAAATGTTCTTTTTTCAGTTGTCGACGAGTATACTCGTCTAAAACTTTACCTTCAAAAACCAGCTACATACGTACCATTCTAAATAATTTCATCTAGAAACTTTCTGAGGAAATACTATTCTTAACCACAGAACTGGGAAGAAAAAATAATTACAAACTGTTTTCATAACCAGCATCAAAAATACTATATAGAACCAAAATAAAAAAATTAGACTGAAAAAGAAACGTTTTTAACAAAAAAATTGTTGGGGAAGGGGTTAACTGTCTCTTCCTCCAGGAACTTCACCTGATCCCCAGATGTTGCTGACTTTTTTTAAAAAAAAAATTATCTTTCTTGTTGAAAGTATTAGAAGTGCCCATTCTCCCAGGCCCTCAACCTTTTAGAGCAGGGGTCCTCAAACTTTTTAAACAGGGGGCCAGTTCACTGTCCCTCAGACCGTTGGAGGGCCGGACTATAGTTTAAAAAAAAAAACTATGAACAAATTCCTATCTATGCACACTGCACATATCTTATTTTGAAGTAAAAAAACAAAACAGGAACAAATACAATATTTGTATTTGCATGTGGCCCGCGGGCTGTAGTTTGAGGACCCTGTTTTAGAGTATGTATCACACTGGACCATTACCCACCCGTTTCCTGGACACCATACACAACTAGACTGTGAAATACCCAGAAGGCAATGCTAGTGTTTCACTGATCACTGTTCCCGGGTCTCCCACTGTGCCTGGCACATGCAAGTGACCAGCACACATTTGTTCTGATGGATGGATGGTTGCATGGGTGTGACCCTCAATATGCCCGGGGGGTCATTATCCTGAACAGGATGAGAACAGAAACAGAACACAGGCACTGTGAGGGGAAAGGGACGCAGTTCTGTGCCACGAGAAGGAGGAGAAGTTCATCTTCCATCTCTCCTGTCCTTGGCATCCAGCCTCTCTAAGTCCCTACTCATACCACTGCGGATCCTTCCTCTCTATTCTAGGTCAACTTTTTCACCTTCTTTTCCATCAGTTCAGTGGGTGGGATGGCAATTTTATCCACCGGAAGAACACAAGGACTAGTTTGATTCTCTGCTTAAAATTCCCAGAGCCTCACACATTGGGCACAAAATAAATATTTGCACATGAATAAATGAATGAATGAATGAATAATGAGAGCCCCCATGTTTCTCTCCTCCCCTACCATTTCTCTTGCATCTTTCCCTTTTATTCCTTACTTTCTTCCCTTCTTTTTCTTTCCCTCTTTTCATTATTATCAACTTGCCACCCTCATCCCTCATTCTGCCCCACTCCACAACATGAGTGGGACATTTTAGTTTTATTTCACAAATCCTAGACAAGTTCCTCATTTGTATTATCCTGAGAGGAGTTATGTGCTAGCATTCCTGTGCTAGTGAATAAAAATTTGAATTTACCTACTCTCACTTCCATTAAAAACATCGGTGCCACGCAGCACTATCTGAATTAAGGACACTGTACAGGGAATCTTTGTGACAGATGTAGCCGAAGCAATGCAGACATGAGGGCACTCTCGGGGTTTTCTCTCTTAAATGAGAGGACAGGTAGACAAGTCTGTATGTGCTCAGGTGAAAACGTGAAAATAATTGCTCTTTATACCAAGAAATAAAATAATGGAAACACAGCCCAGAAATAAAAGTTTGAACATTTTTTTCAAGCTACTGTCTTTGTATAAACAATTTTCCTAGAAAATTGCATAAGTTAAAGTTAACAAATGAATTTAGGAAAGTATATAAATGGGATTACAGTAGCCCTCAGTCCTTGGTTTTGCTTTTCAAGGTTTTGGTTACCCATGGTCCAGTGTAATCCAAAAATACTAAATGAGAAATTTCAGAAATCGACAATTTACATTTTAAATCTCGCACCGTCCTGCTCCATCCCGCTCCGTCCGCCCAGGCCCTGAATCACTTCTTTGTCCAGCGTCTCCACGCTGCATGTACACCCGCCCAGTGGTCACCTAGTAGCCGCCTTGGTGATCAGGTGGACTGTCAGCTGTCTCAGGCCATGTTCAAGTCGCCCTTATTTCACTACTCATGGCCCCGAAGCGAAAGAGGAGTGAGGCTGGCAATTCGGATATGCCATAAAGTGCTTCTTTCAAGGAAAAAGGTGAAAGTTCTCAACTGACTAAGAAAAGAAAAAAATTGGATGTTGTGGTTGCTAAGACCTACAGTAAGACCGATTCTTCGAGCCATTAAATTGTGAAAAGGCTAAAGAAATGCGTGCTAGCTTTGCTGTCACAACTCAAACCACAAACATTGTGGCCACAGTGTGTGACAATTCTTAGTTAAGATGGAAAAGGCATTAAACTTTACAATAAGTATGTTTGTGTAGAGAAAACAAAACCTAGTATAACAGGACTCGGTACTGACCCTGGTTTCAGGCATTGACTGGAGGTCTTGGAACCCACCAAGGGGGACTATTGTCTATAATAATAAAAGTATAATCTGCTAATTAGACCGGACAGCCAAACAACTTTCCGGATGACATTCCGGATGTCCTTCTGGACTAAGCCACGGCGTGTCCTAACTAAGCAGAGGCAGTTAGGGGAGATCAGGCAGGCAGGTGAGTGGTTAAGGACAATCAGGCAGGCAAGCGAGCAGTTGGGGTGATCAGGCAGGCAGGCAAGCAGTTAGGGGTGATCAGGCAGGCAGGAGAGCAGTTAGGAATGATGAGGCAGGCAGGCAGAGTGTTTAGCGGCCATCAGGCAGGAAGGTGAGTGGTTAGGAGCCAGCAGTCCTGGATTGTGAGAGGGATGTCCTACAGGGTTCGGGCCTAACTGGCAGTCAGACATCCCCCGAGGGGTCCTAGATTGCAAGAGGGTGCAAGCCGGGCTGAGGGAACCCTGCCCCCCCCTCTGCACGAATTTTGTGCACCGGGCCCCTAGTATTTAAATAAAAAAGCAATTCTTTCTGAAAAGTAAGCTTGAATGTTACCTTTAAAATATTTCCCCTGCCAGGATATTAAAAAGTCATGTTTACTCTTCAAAATTTTTCCTTCGAGATCATCAAAAGCCTTTGTAACTCTGCAGCCTCTCTAGATGATAAAAACCTAGTAGGCTAGTACAAGGCCACGGAGCCTCTGTATGTTGTGAAAACAACTAAACTGAAATTTAAAATATTCTATGAACAAATTCTTTCGTCATTTGGTTCAGATTCGAGGTCCAGAAGCTGAGGCTTGGGTTCTGAGGTTAAAATTCTCCTGTAATAATTAATACCAACACTCAAGGGGAATATTTCAGAGACTTGTTTTACATTCGTGTTTAAATTTCACATGCTCCTCTAATTTTCGGAACCAGAAGCCTTTTGTTGTAGCAGCAGGTAAACAGGAAGACCACCTCCCGCATTACCTTGAATGGCAAAGCTAAGCAGCCCTCAGAACACTTACAGCTCATTCAGAACAGAGTGAGTGGACACCCACAGAACACCGTCCCCTCCCGCCCCTCCCGCAGTCACTGGTGTTTACAAAGAGCCTGCTCTGTAACCACGTGGCTTTAGCTGGCTTCTAGCCTACTTCAAAGATTGCTTTGTATTTCAAATATATATATAAATCTTAAACCATAAAGAAGGGAACTCAGTTTCTGAACATAAACATAAAGTGTCCTCAAAGACCACCTGCATCTCTCTTACAACTTCTCTACTTAAAGCATAAGTA